TCGATCCCATGGAGAATCACAGAGGCCCTCTAGTCGGGCACGGCCCACAGGTTGAAAACCACTGGAGTAGGAAAAAAAAAACACTTTTTTTATGAATATCAACTCAAACAGCATTTTCACTGTAGTTTAATGTGACACAAACTGGTGCTGGTGTTCCTTTGAGCTGTTGACTGGCATGTTGTAGTTAAACTCTGTTTTATTTCCTTCATGTTTAACTGATTAGTGTTGGTGTGGAAGAACATTGTTCAGGAATAACGATGTATATAATGATATATAATCTATATCTGTGCTCTCACTACATCTCACTCTTACATATTCATTCCATTTCCAGGAGACCAAAATGGTAGAATTTATGTGAATGCCACATTTCCATTGTTATTTCCATCTCTGAAGAGGCTTTTTAAAAGGCTCACAGTTTGACTTGACGTCTGCTTACTGCTACATTACCTCCTCCACCTACAGCACTGCTGATGGGCCTCACATATCCACTTCACAGCTTGGTCCGCTCCGCTCTAGCTGGGATGCTGGCGGCCTACTGATGGGTAGCAGGGTCCTCCTATGCTGGATGAATGAGTAAATGTAAACCTTCACAGATTGCCTCGTCTTTTTTATCCCAGTTCCTTTTTTTATTTTAGCCGAGTTGTCCCATTGTCTGCACCTTCATTTTATCTCGTTCACTCTCGTATATATATTATGTAAATATGCACGTCTGAAAGCAGCCTAACGTCTATTGAAATGTATTACTCCGCCCCACACCTTCAGAGCCTCTGCAAACAAAGAAATTATAATAATTCACTACAGAGAGTGAATTCCTCTCATAAACCCTTCTAGTCCCACACTTGCCAATCTAATTCAAAGTTTGACAATATCCAGAAGGTTTTAATTAAATGGATTTAAGCCCTACTGGGAAATGTTCTGCAGTGATTTTAAGTGCAGGTAGGAAAAAAGTGTAAACACCGGAGATGGAAATCAGTGTGATCTAGAGCATGGAGTGTGTGTTTGAATGTTGAATTATGTTGTATGCTCTTAGATGAGCCTGGTCTCATCACACATTTCCTGAAGGGAAGTTTCTTGAAGGACTTCTTAAGTCTTTTCTGTTTAGTGGAATGTATGAATTGAATGAATCCGACAGGCATATCAAGTCCAGTTCCCATGCCCTGGCTCAATCTAACATAGAGTTCATTAGAGTATGAAATAGTACCATCTACAATCCTCAAGTACTCAGTGGTCCAACTACCCTGCTCGGCATTCCTCTCAACCACAGCACCATCAATACATAAACAAAATAATGGCACTGTTAAGTATTTACTGTTCAGTGGTTATATATTGGTGTATTTATAAGGATCTTCTTGCAATGTCCTTTAGGAACCGTCCTTAATTTATTCTTGCAAGACCTGCCAGTGACCCAGGGGAATGAGCACTCCAGCCATGAGGATGAGCTCAACGCGTGGCTTCTTCCAGTTTCGTGCCAAATCGTAATTTGATCAACCACATCAACAGGGGCCAAAAGGTTCTGGCATGAGAGACTGATGGGCTGACAGATGCAGAGGAAGCAGTTTTACCCATCCACCAAACCGTGACACCAAAACACCCTTTGGAATCTCTCCAAGCTTCATGAAGATCCTATTACTGTCCATTCTGAAGCCGATTTTAACTGAGTTTCAGTTCTCCTGTTTCTTTTCAGTTTATTCAGTTGAAACTTGCATTGCTCTGTGGCATTTCTGCTTCCTAAGAAATGGGCCATTATTTGTGTACTTGGTTGTTTTGTGTGGCCTTTCGACATTTAGAAGCTTGTTAATGCTCACGTACTATCAAACAATGTGCCACTTGTCTCGCCGTTTTGTTTCCAATTACAGTAAATGTCCACATTCTCTTTTGGCACCACAGTTCACATCAAATGACCAAACAATCAGTGTCTGCTTGGTTGTTGTGTGCCTTTGTGATTGAGTGGCTGATTAACAAACAAGGCCATGTTTGTTTGCCAACATGTACTATTCAAGCTTCTAGGACTGTCATTGTGAAAGCCGTTCCTCTGGCGGCTGCTGTTTATTTTCCTTCAATGGATCTCATTAACTGCTTTGCAACATTTGCTCTTCTGGATCTCCATGTCGATACTTGTGCCTTTCATGTCAGTGTTTTGTAGTTCATATCTGGGGCATTCGCTGGACGGTACCGTTCGAGGAACGGGAGCTGTCAGCAACTTTGACTGTGACCATGGGAGTGATGCTTTCTAATAAGCCCAAAAATGGAATGGATCACAATCATCAAAGTATCAAAGGGCCTTCATCTGCCAGCACACACATGGCAACTATTGTCGGAAGGTAGATGCAGAAAGGGTTTGCTTGCTTTAGAGAGAATCCAATTCTGTCATTTAATTTCTTCTTTCCTTAGTTTTTTTTTTTTTTTCTCCACGGAAGAATGGAAAGGCAGAAGAGCTGGGAAACAATGGATTTAGAGGAAAGCAGTCCATTCCACTGACTCTCTAGTGCATGTTTTTCTCAATGCTCTCTGGTGAGCTATCAAGGCTTCTTGGATTTAAAAAATGAGGAGTCCTGATGTGTCTGGTTCCTCTAATGCACTTCTAATTCATCTTTGTGTCATCCTGAGATGTTCAGGTCAATAATGTCCGGAACTAACTGGTTTATTTTATAAGGAGTGAAACAAGTAGTGAAACAAGGCCCATTTGATCAGAACAAAATTGACCAAATGCCTGAGTGCTCTCATGTCAGGAAGAGTGTCTAGCCAAACATTCCTGTCCAGTTTGAAATTACGACATTGAACGACATTGGTGTCATACGTTAATGAGGCTATTGTGTCCTTTTTGAAGATTTCTACTAAAATACTCTTCCTTTTAGTGTGCCATGGAAGACAGGAGCTGAATGAGACAGGATAAAACCAGGTTTTAACTATTCTCGGGACATTACACATTTTAACAGATTAAGGCATCATCAAGTGCATAACAATGTTCAGTGTAAGAATGGTAACTCTGAAAAAATATATAATTTACAGATAATTATTTGAATGTGCATCAGATATGGTTCTCTCGTCTGTGCGGTTCAAGAAATCACAGAGAAAGTGGCATGAGCCTTGATTTATTTGTGTTGCTAGTTCTTGCAAGGAAATCAGTGAACAAGAACAAGCCCATAAAAAAACTAAACAAATGTAAATGCTTTATACTGAAAATAAGAAATTTTGCTGCCCGCCTCTGCTCAATTGTATTACCTCCATAAACATGATGCAACACTGCGGGCCCTCTCTGTAAAGCATAAACAATCCAGCGATTGTGCTTTCGTTAATATTTTTGAACACAGCAAATCTTTTGTAATTGTAATATTACTTTTGTCAGAATAGCTGATACCAAAGACGCCACAATGTTGCTATGATTACCATGATGTCAATAATCACCATCTCGGGAGTTAGTCACAATCCATACACACATAGAGTGATAATTAAGGGGAATCACACCTGCATTTAAAAGTGGTTGTCCTGAAACGTTTGTGTGTACGTGGCCTTTGTGAATTTTGTTTGGTGCTAAAGTCTTGCATATTACTTGGAATGCAGTTCCTGAGGCAAAAGAGAAATGTCAGGGAAAGAAAAGCAACAGAATACATATTAGCAGACCCTGCTAACACCTGGACCCTCACCACCATGCCCATCATTGACTCTTTCTTTGGAAAGGGCGAGGCACATTACTTGCCTACAAGTTCTTGTGAATGTTAATGAAGGCCGGTGCTAGATATATATCAATAGGTCAGGGGTTATCTGCCAGAAATGTGAGGAAGAAGCCTAACGCGAATAAGAATGTGTATTATGGTGGACTTGACCAAAGAAAGGAGATATGTGTGGAATGGATATATCATGGTGAAAGAAGATCTACAGTAACAGGAAATAGATTGATTGTTTCATTGATGGCACAGCAATTTTGTCATTTCCTCTGCATGTTTAGGCCGTCAAGCTCCAGTGCCTCAAGTGTTTCAGATGTCATGTAAGAGTAGAAATTTTGCGCATACATTTTTCCTGTTCAGGGTTCATGCATTTATGGCTGATGAATGCCATCCATGTTTTCAAAAAGTTGACGCATGCGAACGAGTCCAGTACAGACTCCATAGGACTTCCTGTTAACCAAGCAACTCACACAGAAGTTGTTTTATTTTCTATCAATGATAAGAGAATGCATGGACAAAGAAATCAATGAACCAATTTCTTTGCAGAGGTCCTAATTTAATCAGAGTGGAAGTCAGTAGTCGATGGTTATTGAAGCTGCTAATAAGGTTCTTGAGACCTGTGTGAGAGAACACACAATTACATTCACTCGCTACATTGACTGCATTTTGTTGCACGGACAGTTTGCCCCATAATGCTACTTGTGTGGTCAAGGGTTTGTATTGAACACATTCTCATGTTTATTTCATCTTTCACATTGATTTTCATCTATTTCATCTTTACACTGTTATGCTATTAGATAGTGAGTTGTTCTGTATCTGTACCCATGAATATTTATTAAAAGGGATAATGTGATTGTTGTAGACCTTTTTTTGGAAAATAAAGCATATCTTATTGGAATCTCGTGCTTTAAATTATCATAGACATTTTTTTTTTTTTTTTCAGAAATTACATAAATGGAAATTTCTCCTGGGAAATTATTCAATTTTTTTTTTTTTTTTTTTTTTTAATCAAGTATAAAGATTTTAATAAACCAGAAACAAACTGTAACTCTATAGTAAGTACATGTAGTTATTTATTTAATATTACCTGGTATTTATTTGAGTAAGTACAATGAAACTTTGTCACCTTAAAATAAAGTGCAACCATTTATTGTTATTATTGTTGTTATTTTTATTTATTTTGTAGAGATAATATAGTTAAATTATTGTATACAATTAATTTAAATGTTATTGTTATTATGATTATATTAAAATTATATTCTAGGTTTGTGATGATCATAGACCTTGATGCGTTAAATGATAAATAAATGAATATCTTGTGTTCGACTCCTGTAGGGTTCCAGGCATCACTATTGCCACTGACATCATCTGCGGCTTCCCAGGTGAGACGGATGAGGACTTTGAACAGACAATGGAACTCGTGAGGCAGTACCGCTTTCCCAGCCTCTTTATTAACCAGTTCTACCCACGACCTGGAACTCCTGCAGCCAAGATGGAACAGATTCCAGCACACGTGGTGAGATGATAACAAGTGTACCTACAGTACTCATGATCAGTTTTGTTTATTATGAAAGTAAAAGAGAACAGCTCTAAAAATAGAGAACAGATCTGCAATGATAAAATAAATAAAAACTCTGTTTATACTCATAGTCTCATATTAAACTCTAAACTCATTATCATAAAGGAGTCGTTTTTATTAAAACACAATCAGTAAATTTAATAAATCAACGAAAGAAATTGATCACAAGTATTTTTCATCAGTGCTAGTCCTAGTCCTACGTTATTATAAATCATATTTGATATGCAAACAACCTTTAGCTGAACACAACTGTTTTTACCTTACTCATATTGTATTTCTTCTTTAGAAGAGGTTCATACAATGTGAGGCTCTTACGAGAATACTAGTGTATGTACGAATATTTAGTGTCTTCATATACATCTCATACTGATGCTCTGTTGCTTCTCTCTTTCCCACTTGTTCACCTGCTTTACTCAAACTCGCTTTTTCACTTATTTAATTAGGGCCCAGCCCTGAAAGGGCGAAGGCCCTATTGTTTTCCTAAGGATTATTTTTCTTTACTATTATTATTAGGGCCCAAGCCCTGAAGGGGCGAAGGCCCTATTGTTTTCCTTGGGATTATTTATTATTAGGGCCCAAGCCCTGAAAGGGCGAAGGCCCTATTGTTTTCCTTGGGATTATTTTTCTTTACTATTATTATTATAATAATTATTATTTTACTACCTTTTGGGCACTTTTGGGGCCCTTAACGTGCTCGAAAACTCTTGAAACTTTGCACACGGGTCAGAACCCGCGGCCATCAGAGCCGGGCTGAAGATGGTACCCGGGCGTGGCAGGGCGGCTCGTCAGCGCCCCCTGGAACGGGGTCCGAACACTTGGTCCATAACTCAAACACGCTTGTATGTAATAATATGAAACTCGGTACACATGTTGATCTCATCGTTTCATCTATACCTCACACTCTTACTTTTTACCCCAGCCCAACAGGAAGTCGGCTATTGAGGTTTGTTTGTAAAACGCTCGCAATGGAATGTCATATACTCCTCCTAGAGCTTTGATCCAATTCGACGAAACTCGGTCAGCGTGAAGTCAAGACATTGAGGATGAAAGTTTTGCGAGGGGATTTTTTATATCTCGAACGGTTTGTCCGTGGCGAGGAAACGAAATCATGGCGAGAAACGTGAAACAGGAAGTGTGTTTATAACTTCAGCATACATTAACTGATCTTGATGAAACTTCAGCAGTGTGTTCGCTGTAAGAGGACGATCACATGGATGTGACTATTGTGAGTCAAAGTTATAGCGCCACCAACTGGCAGCAGGAAGTGTGTCACTTTCAAAATGCTTTGATATCACCCTTTTATTTTTACCCGATTTGCTTCAAACTTCATATGTATAATGTAAACATATGGCAGATGTAGACCTGTGAATGGATTCTTGATATCTTTGAAACTGTTGCCGTGGCGACGCATCAAACTTTACCCTTCTTTTAGGATGCTTTTTGGATGCTTTTGAGACTCTTAGCATGCTTCAAATTGCATGAAACTCGACAGACACAACACATTTATTAGCCAGTAGACATGTGCAAAGTTTCAGAAACGGGCGTGGTGAGGGCTCAGTAGCGCCACCTTTTGACAAAAGTGGGGTTGTTAGTTTTAACTAGAGTTACAAAAATTGGTATGTATATTGTACTCCTCGAGCCGGACAACTTTCTAATTGACACTTATTAGCTAGGACCCACAGAAAGTCAGATATTTTTGTTTGAATATGGCCACTCTGAGCCTACATGTCTCTGTGTCTCTGTGTCTTTGGCTGGCTGGCTGACTGGCTGGCTGTCTGTGTGTGTGTGTGTGTGCAGGGGGAGGGGGCTTAACCATTTTACTGCTGTGTGTATGACCTGCATAAAGAAAATACATTTCTCAAGCCTGGTATTTTTTAAATAAGTTTTTATTTTTATTTTTTTATAAGTAAAGGCATATAACTAGTTTAATTGTAGTGAATTGACAATAGTTTTATATAATTAGTTTATTAATCAGATTAACTTGGTCAATAAACTTGGTCTGAAAATTTGGTCCATAAATCAACACACTTGCATGTAATAATATGAAACTTGGTACACATATAGATCTCATCGTTTCATATATAGCCCTATCTTCACACTCTTATTTTTTACCCAGCCCAACAGGAAGTCGGCTATTTAGGGTTGTGTTTAAAAACACATGCAATGGAATTAAATTATTGCTCCTAAGCACTGAACCAAATTCGACGAAACTCGATCAGCGTGAAGTCAAGACATTAAGGATGAAAAAAGTGCCACGGGATTTTTGATACCTCGAACGGTTTTGGCCGTGGCGAGGAAACAAAATATGGCGAGAAACATGAAACAGGATGTGTGTTTATAACTTCAGCATACATTAACTGATCTTGATGAAACTTCAGCAGTGTTTTCGCTGTAAGAGACCGATCACATGGATGTGACTATTGTGAGTCAAAGTTATAGCGCCACCAACTGGCAGCAGGAAGTGTGTCACTTTCAAAATGCTTTGAAATCACTCTCTTATTTTTTAACCCGATTTGCTTCAAACTTCATCTGTATAATGTAAATACACGGCAGATGTAGACCTGTGAATGAATTTTTGATATCTTTGAAACTGTTGCCGTGGCGACGCATCAAACTTTACCCTTCTTTTAGGATGCTTTTTGGATGCTTTTGAGACCCTTAGCATGCTTCAAATTGCATGAAACTGAAATTGTTGTAAAATTCAGAAAAAAATAATAATCTGAGTCATACGTAGTGCTATACTGCCCTCTTGTGTTCAATATCAGGTAGGCCTATTGTGTATATTCCCACCGGTTAATCAACGTGTGACTCCGCTGGGACTTGGGAGCTTTTAAATCGCTTACTTAAAACCGAAAGTCAAAATACGGATGTCCGCACAAGACATTAATGGTGTGGAGTAGAGCGAGCATTTTAAATAAATTCCTATTAAGTAGGATTGAAACTAAACAGAAAGAATGTTCACTCTGTTCTGCTGGTTTCCTCGCTGGTGATCATATGATTACTTTGTCATAATCTATGACAAAAATGCTATTATAAACTATATTAATAATAGATAATACACATTGCTCTTATTTTTAAAAAAATACATTCATGAAAAACAAGATAACAAAAATCATAAAAAGATATAGCCATGGCTGCTATAAATGTTTGAAATGCATAGGACAGATGTTTAATGACGCAGCAACATATAATTGAAAGGCAATTAATAATCTGTCATTACGTCACTGCATTATGATATTACGGCTCTAATACGGTGCAGCACAAAGCACTTATGTGCATCCCGAGCGGAGAATGATGTGCTTGAAGCCACATGAAGTTACAGCGCAGTGAGTCCCGTATTGAAAAGTTCAAAGCACAAAGGAAATACATATTTATGAACAGTGTATTATACATTATATATCTATGCAATAGTTTATTGAGCCTTTTCTTTTAAAGGTTTTAAATTTCAGTTACTGTGTGCGTGAAGAACAATTATAGTGCTCTGACTCTAGTGTTGTGATCTAACCGACAGCGCTGACACCCGGTAGAAAGTAACACGATTAAGTTACAGCAATAAAGTCCCAGCAAGAAAAAGTTTCTTCATTCGAAAATATAGACTTTAGACCTTTATCTTAAAGATCCAGTATAATAGGATTAACAATTGAATCATCTTGAAGATCGTTTCATCATTGACTGTAACCGAATGTGACGTGCTGTTTGAATGCTGAATGGAGAATGACCTGGCGCAGAGAGGGAAAGTTTACGTGTTCTTGAATTTAATGACTTAAATATTAATTTCTATATCACAATAATAGCTTCAGAACACTTATAATACAGTACACAAAAACTTTATGGTACTTTAGAAAGTTTTTTGTGCCTTTGTGCCTAACATAGAATAGTATATGCACAATATAGAATTTGAATCAGCCTCGTCAAAGATGGCAGTGTCAGAGCCGATACCGATCCTGAGTATCTAATCGGCGCACTTCTTTTCAACAGTCAAATTGAAATTGAAATTGCTTGAAACTCAACAGATACATCACATTTATTAGCCAGTAGACGTGGCAAAGTTTCAGAAACGGGCATGGTGGCAAGGACTAAATAGCGCCCACCTTTTGACAAAAGTGGGGTTGTTAGTTTTATCTACAGTTACAAACAAAAATCGGTATATATACATTTTACTCCTCAAGCCGGACAACTTTCTATTACATAGTCATTAGCTCGGACCAAGAGGAAGTCCGATATTTTGGTTTGAATATGGTGAGCCTCTCTCTGAGCCTATGTCCCTGTATAAAGCTAAGTTTGCCTATCCGGAATTAACATTGTAGATATCAACAACGTCTTTCTGTCTAGTCGTAATTACATTTTGGATAGTTTGTATTATCATTTAAGATATCTGTAACATAATTTTGACTAGTCGAAATGACAGAGTATGGCAAGCCGTTTTAACATTTAATCATGAAAGGGCCAAAGCCTTCGGCACCGCCACCCGGGTGCCTTTAGGTAACTAAAGGAACCGGGGTTGCGGTGCCACCGGCTTGGGCCCGCCATCGCTGCTCGCAGCTATATTTAGGTATTGTTTTTCAAAGGATTATTATTACGGCCCAAGCCCCAAGGGGGTGGAGGCTCTATTGTTTTCTTGTTGTTAACATCTTGGACATATACAAGAATGGATTTGTATGGAACTCATTGTATGGAACCAGCTATTTAGGGTTGTTTGAAAAGCGCTTGAAACATGAAGCCATGACAGGATGCTAAATTGCTAGCGGATTTTTGATATCTCAAACAGTTTTGCTGTGACGTTGAAATGAATGTATAGCAGACTGTTAAACAGACTGTTATCGTTCGTTGGTGTGGACGCAAATATAGTTATAGTTATCTTTCTTGGTGTGAACGGTCCTTAAGAGTGAAATGCAGCATATTTAAGAGCGTGTGAATAAGGCTTCCGCCGTTACCGG